TGCTTCCTGTAGTACTGTAGTTATTGTCCTCTTTTAAAAATTGCTTACAGTTGCGATTTGTTTGTATGTGAATATAATGCGGCTTCTTAGACATAATTTTGTAATTAAATTGGAGAAGAAATTCTTCATGTCGTAATACAGAATATTTAGGAATTCTTATTTACACCTTATTATGAGTGACATGATGCATCCTCAAAAAATAAAAGGGCTTTATTGCCTTTTTGGTTGTGATTTTCTAAAGATCTTTGCTTGATACGAAATAATCAATTATATTGTTGTGTTGAATTACAGGCTAGAGGTTTGAAGAAACATTTGAAGAGGCTCAATGCCCCGAAACATTGGATGTTGGATAAACTTGGTGGTGCTTTTGTAAGTAGATATTTTTTTAGTTTTTTTCCTTTTCTGTTCGATTTCCTGGTTTTGCATCCTTTACTTTACCTGTGTGTACTCTTATGGTGGTGTTTGTGCTCTCTTGTAAACCTATTTGCTTATTTGTGTTTGTTTATCATCGTCATGTGTGTTTTTAAATGTGTAGGCACCCAAACCATCTTCCGGACCCCACAAATCAAGGGAGTGCTTGCCCTTGATTCTTATTATGCGTAACAGGCTGAAGTATGCTCTCACATACCGTGAAGTTATAGCTATCTTGATGCAACGTCATGTTCTTGTTGATGGGAAGGTTAGGACAGATAAGACGTATCCTGCTGGTTTCATGGGTAAGCACTTCATACTATGAATTTATTCACCTTGAAGCTCAATCTTCTTGGAGGTTTACTTTTAGAAATTAAACTCCAACTAATTGGTTGCAATAATTCAGTGTTTTTTCCTGTCAAGGGATTTAATTTGGATGACAAATCTGGTTACTTTGTTTCTTTAGCTGATTACCCTGTGTTTTAAAATTTTTTGCAAGATGTTGTGTCTATTCCAAAAACCAACGAGAATTTCCGTCTGCTCTATGATACCAAGGGTCGATTCCGTCTCCATTCCGTAAGGGATGAGGAGGCCAAGGTTTGTTTTTCGTTAACCCCTATTTACTTGTACGCTAGTAGAAAAGTTGTCATATTTTGATGACAACCCTGTCTTTGTATTCCTATAGCACTACATTTTAAGAGTACCATAACCGATATGGAAAATGGAAAACAAAGTAAGTTGGAGGACTAAGATTGGATAAATATTCTCCTTTAATTTTGAAATAAATAAACTAATTCATTCTTTTGATTTTCAATGCACAGCCTTGGTAACATGATGAACCTATTCCAAGTGCTGTTTCCTTCAGCAATCTGTCATCTGATTAAATTTGTGTTCTGCAGTTTAAGCTTTGCAAAGTTCGATCTGTCCAGTTTGGGAAGAAAGGCATTCCCTATCTCAACACCTACGATGGAAGGACAATTCGCTATCCTGACCCACTCATCAAGGCAAATGACACGATCAAACTCGACCTGGAGGCAAACAAAATCGTAGATTTCATCAAGTTTGATGTCGGCAATGTTGTGATGGTGACCGGTGGAAGAAACAGGGGACGTGTTGGAGTGATCAAAAATCGTGAGAAGCATAAAGGAAGCTTTGAGACTATCCACATCCAGGATGCTCTTGGGCACGAGTTTGCTACCCGTCTGGGTAATGTGTTCACTATTGGAAAAGGTACAAAGCCGTGGGTGTCTCTTCCAAAGGGAAAAGGTATTAAGTTGTCCATCATTGAGGAGGCGAGAAAGAGGCTTGCTGCTCAATCAGCTACAACAGCATAGATATATTCAAAGGTTCTCTCAGACATGTCTTGAAGTAGCATTGTTGGACTCGACTGCTGTCCTATGTTGAGGGAGTTACATTTTGTTTCCATTTAATTACGGTTTTGACTTAATTATGACGTTTAAAGAGTTTTTTTTAATTGATTTGGATCTTGGTTTGCTAGCATTTGGCACTTGGAGATAAATCAGGACAAAATGATCGGGGACTTGTTTTCTACAATAGTCATAGCCTTATTGCAGTGTATGGTACCATAGGTGAGTTTTACTTGATGTGTGCATAGTTGCAATATCAAAGTAGATGCTCATTTGTGGATGATTCTTGTCGACTAGGATGTTTAGAGACGGCCACTTCAAGTAGAATGCAGATTTCGTAAAATCACTTAGTTGAGAATATGGGTTGTCGTGGATTGCATTCTAAGGTCTCCGATCTCTAATATGAGACGAATGACCCAATGCGGTTGGGGTGAGGGTTTGGATATCGGATAT